GGGTGGCGCCAAGTCGAGCCCCGCGGTTTGTGACGGCGCTTCGCTCCCTTCCTTTAGAGGGGCCGAAGTGTAACAGAAAACACGCACGTCTGGCAGGGCCGATTTACCCGACTACGCCAAAACAAATGCGAGACCCGCGGTGTTGGTTTGTCCTGTCGGTGAAGCCCTTCGGTGGGTGTGTGGTCCTGATTGGACTTTAGATTGAATATCCCTAGCCTCCTTGAAGATAAAAACAAAGGTTCCACGCTAAAGAGTTTACATATATATATATATATATATATATATATAAAGCAATATAGATAAAGAATACATTAGACGATATAAAGGGGCAAAGATGCAAAGTCCCAAGCTCATATTGTTTCATAGTTTGTATTTTACACAAGGTATTTAATAATTTAATGAATCAGGCAAAAGAAAAACAAGAAGCAATCGAAAGATTCGATGTTGAAAGGAATCTAAAGTAAAACATGAATAAAATAGCAATACTTTAAAAGCAAAGACAACACTTTCCCCGACTTACCACATAGTAACTCAAGAAATATGCTCTAGAATAATTATGGATATAAATAAGGGCAAAGATATAGAAATTTGGTAGTAATAAGTAATAAGTTGAACTAATTACTTTATGAACCTTTGAACTAGCTTAGAACATACGGTAATGATTTAGTGAGTTCAATTTTTTGGTTTGTTTATTTTGAAGGAGATGTTTACCCCTGACTTTAGTGGATAAATGGCTCCATTGGAAGGGTGTCGTGGTGGTTCAGCTCATTTTGAAGAATATTCTCCAGCATCTCCTTGAACCCCCGATCCCCGCCGGAGAGCCAGTTCACCAGATCCGCCGCAAAGTACATGGTATGGTTCAAGGGCAGCCAACTCAGTCGCTTTTCGCGATTATCCAGATAAAACCCCGTCTTAATAAGGTTCACGATATAATCCGGAAAAACGACATTATGCCTCCCGAAAGCGGCTGCCACTTGCTCCTGGAAGTTCTGCACATCGATCTGAATTTGCATCACTAAAATGCCGTTTAATTTTCGCTTAGAAAGCTTGCTGTATTCCCGCACGAGGGTCGCCTGGACAGTAAAAATCCACCGCTGTAGAAATGCCGCTTCCAACACCGGCGTCGGCATCACCGGGCGTCGGTCGTTGATCCTTTTCATCTCGGAAAGAATCGTCTTGACGTAAGGGCTTTCCTGCAGATCGTCCTTTCTCGGCCGCAGCTTCGCAATCGCCGCGGCGATGTCCTCCATGGGGTAAATCGCCTGACAAACGCGGTAGATCCCCACATGCAAAACTTCCATCGCCGCGGTGTAAAATCCCCGGAGGCGGCGAAAGGCCGCGTTCACTTGTGAAGCCGACAACTTCGCCACGATTGCGCAGAGAAAAGCCTCTTGATGAAAAACTACCGCGGCGCAGGACTCGCAGGCCACGACGCGATCCACCACGGCGAAATAATCCCCCCCGCTCGCGAATTCCCCGCGAAGACGCCCCCACACGCGCGGTGGAAACCCACCCACCCTCACCGTGAGATCGTCCCGATTCCATTTATGATTGGAATCCCGCAAATCCCCCGTGAAGGAATCGGAAAGATGAAAGGATGGCCCCAGCGCGGCTTCTGCGGCGCTTCGCATCGCCTCCAGGGCGACCTGCGTTGAGGGGGAAAACACCCCCGCCTGCCGCTCGATCGGGACGTTTTTGGAGATCGAGACGAAATTGTCCGCGATGATGTAGAGAAAAAGACCGATTAAATCTCCTGTCCAGCGAATCATTTCGTCCGCCAAAGGTGGATAGCGAATCACCACCCGCGCGGCGGATTCCGTCAAGGTATTGCACAACGTCATCGCGCTGGCGGTTAAAACGGTCGGGGGCATCGATATCCGTGTGGATAAACGTGCCTCCCCGCCCCCAAATAAATAATTTCCACCCGCCAAAGTGTCGGATCCCGTACTGGCCGATAAACCATTCGTATTGGGATGCCTCCCAGGGAAGTCACACGCCCCCGATGAGGCCTTCCGAGAAGTTAAAGTATCCTCACAATTCACCGCATGGGAAGGACCACAAACGCCAGAGCCGCACAAACTTCCTTCCCCTCCGCGGTGGTTCACCCTCGCCCAGTACTGTCCAAAGGTCTCCGTCTGGTGAAATTCCCGAAGATCCGGCGGGTCAATCACCTCGGCCGCGTAAAATGGATTGTCCACCCTGCCTTCCCCGCTTTCCCCTTCGTCCTGGGCGCTGTCGAGGTAATCCCGGACAGATCGAATCGCGGCGAGGTAGGGCTTCGTCGAAATCGCCCGCACGACGTTCAGGGAAAGAGCGGAAAGGTCGGACATTCCCCAGCCATCCTCCATCATCCACCAAACCACCTCCATCGCTTTAGGGCGTTGAAATTGGCGAGCGATGATCCTAGTCAATCGCTCGCGGGTCTGCGTTGTGGTTGTTTCCAACTCAGCCAAGTCAACCCCGGTGATTTTCACCCCTTCCAAGAGCATATCCATCACAACAAAAAGATGTAAACCCCGCGTGAGGTCGAGCTCCTCCACCCGCGCGTGGGTGATGGCGAGGAGGAGTTTGTGCAGAAGATCGCCGCCGATGCGGTGGCCGATGTCCCGCACGCCGCACAGAACCGCCGCGTGGACTTCGCAAAGTTCGGAATCCCCCCGCGTGCTTTCCGTGCGATGCCAATGGAGAATTCGGGCGTACATGTGGAAGAAGTCAAGCAGTTTGGCGGCCATTTGGCAAAAACACAATAACAGGTGTTTCGGCTCAATCGCCTCCGCAAGGCTCGCGATGGGGGCAGATTCATCCTTCAGTTGGGAGATTTCGTGTAAGGATTTGGTCAAAATTTGCGCGGCAATACACCACAGAAGCTGGGCAATTTGATTGCCAAGCGCCGAAGGCGTTTTCCCGACCATCCCCGTCGCGGATTCCACCAAATTGCGATAGGTCGACTCTACAAAACGATGAGTAAGCGATTTGTCCAAAATGACCTCCACACATTCCTCGAGGAATTGGGTTTTTTTCTGACACGAACGCCACTCCTCGATGATTTTTTTCACAAAAGGAACCCCTAAAAGGCGATTTTCCACCTCCTCGTTGTCCTCCTCCGCTTGGTGTAAAAGCCTCATCGCGTCGATGAGCTTCCCGCAAGAAATCAACGAATTAAATTGATTTCGCCTCGAAATGATTTGACTCATTGATTGGACTAAGTTTAGGCTATCCACGATATTTTTGCGCCTTCGACCCAACCCAAGCAGGGCCACCTGCGCGGCCGCCGTCGCCTTGCTGCGTCGAATCCCCGCCCTTGCCTTCTTGCAATCGCTTGAAATCTGCAAAAGCGAATCCTCCACATCGTAAATGCCCTCAATGCCCTCCACAAACTCCGCGTAATGCATCAGCACGCGCTTTTCGAGGGTTGTACTCACAATCGCGCACTTTTTCTGAAGATCGAGTATTCGGGCCTCCATCCTGTCCAATTCTTGGGAATTGCTCGCCTCGTTGTTGCTGAGGGGTGTAAAATGCGCTAATTCGTACGCCACCCCATCGTAGGTGGGGTCAAAATACTTTAAATCCACTTGTAATTCCACCTGATCGTCCGTTAAAGGTGGGTCCTCGAGCGAATTAATCATTTCACTATTTTCACTCCCCTCCATCTCGACATCAGTTCGTGAAAGAAGCCCCTCTTCCTCATCTTTGAAATCAACAGAATGTCGAACATCATTATTGGACTTTGCCTGGGATGTTTTTCTAGGTTTGAACGAATCCGTCGGGATGTCTTTTAATGCTTTTTTGGTAAATCGGTATCCTTTTTTGACGCAACGGACCGTATCCTTGAAGGCATATTTAAATTGATCAGATAAATCATTCATTTCTTTTTTGCTATTGTTTTTTCCCTTTTGAGTAAGAAAAGGGAAAGGAAGGCGGAAAAACGCCTCTATTCTTGTGTGTATGACTTTATATGTATATATATATATATGTATATACAATAAAATTTTAAAAAGTACTGATGGTAAAATTTAAGTTCAACACATAACACGGATTCTTTAACTTTTACAGAATCTTACTAAGGATAGATTTTCCTCTGAAATAATAAAGAGATCAAGTTGGGTAAATAGAAACACGAATAAAAAAATAGCGTAATTGAATGCTGCTGATGTAATGTCAAGTCTGCCTTCACAATAGTAAGTATAGCTTTATATATGTATAGGAGTATATATATTCATGGCTTTATCTATCTATAACAGTTCTAGTTCTATTTTGTGGTGGTGGCGCGCGAACATCTCCCCTGGAATCAGGCAACCGAGTGCATTGATAAAAAAAAGTAAAAAACGAAGCAAAGCACTCTTTTTCCTGTTCTAGTGTACGAAGAATATAAAGGTAAAAAAATATTCCTGACGAGCATCCCACACGACTTTGCCAAACGATCCGATTTTTTCAAAAGTACTGAAAAGAAGAAAGGCCGCGGTTTTATTCGGAGCCTTGCTCCCGCAGACGCCTTCCCACCTCGATCTGCTCTTGTTGTTTGTCAAAACAAACCTGCATCACCTCCTGCGCGCTCCGCAGCTCCGCCAGCTTGGCCGACAGCCCCCGCTCCCGCCGCCCCGCCTCGGTGAGCGCGGCCTCCCCGATGTGGTTGAGCGACTCCAAATTCGCGCACCGCTCGCGCAGCGCGGAGAGTTCAGAGCGAAGGGCCTGATCCCGCGCGAGGGCCGCGGCCTCCGCCGCCTGCGCGCGCCGAATCTCCCCCGCCATCCCGTCCATCCGCTCCTTCTGTCCCGCAAGGTAGCGCTGGAGCCGGCGAAGCTCGCGATTTGCGGCGTCGTGGGCCTGGCGAAGCTCATCAAAGGCGCGCGAGGGGGCCCCCTGCCCCTCCTCCGGCTTCGCGATTTCGGCCCTTGGGGGGGAACAGACGCGTTGGAGGGCCGTCAACTCCGCGCGGAGCTCGCGCAGGTCGTCCTCGTGATGGCGGCCCTCCGCCTGCGCGTCCGCCAGCCGCCGGCGAAGCGGCGCGACTTCGCCCTTCACCCCCTCCCAGGCCTCCTTCGCACGGCGGCTCTCCAACAGGGCGGCCTCGCGCGAGGCAGCAACTTCGGCCAACTCCGCGCGATGGCTTTCCCTCAGCCTCGTCAATTCCGCGCGATGGTCCTCCTTTGTCGTGGTCAACTCCGCGCGATGAGCCTCCTCCACTCTTCGCAATTCCCCGCGATGGTCCTCGCGCAGCTTTGTGAAGTCCGCGCGATGGCGAGCCCCCATCCCCGCCATCGCGTCCTCCTTCGTGCGGTGGCTTTCGAAAAGCTCGGCCTCGCGCGATTCCGCGAGCTCGGCGAGCTCCGCGCGATGGCTTTCCCTCAGCCTCGTTAATTCCACGCGATGGGCCTCCCTCAACTTTGTCAATTCCACACGATGGACCTCCCCCATTCGCGTTAATTCCTTCCCGACCTGGCGAAAATACCCCCCGATTTCCTCCATCATCTCGCGGTGGAGCCCCAAAAGAAGCCCCGCCCAGGCCGACTTCATCGCGAGGGCCTCCCCCGCGTAATCGGCGGGGCGGATAAAAAGCCCGGGGTGGAAAAAACCCGCCGGGGCGTTGTTTGGGAAATTCCCTCCCCCACCTTCCACCCCGCGGACAACTTTTAGGGAATTCGCAAGACGCCCTGGAGGGGGGGAGGAGGCCCGCAAGGTCGCCAAGGCGGCCTCGGAGGCCTTCAAATCGTTTAAAAGCCCGCATTCCCGCTCCTGCCCGGCCTTCGCCGTGGTGGTGGATAAATGAAGTTTCTCCTCGAGGTGCGCAATCCAGGCCGCCATTTTGGCCTTTTCCTTCTTGAAGGCCCGACATCGCGCGTGGAGGGCGGCCCGCTCCGACTCCTGGCGCTCGCCCTGGAGAAGCGCACCGGCCTTGTCGCTTTCGTGAGCCGCGTGGGCCTTCCGCAGTTCGTCCTTGTAGGCGAGATATTTTTTCTCCAGAGCGGCAAATTCCCCCCGCTGGGTTTGCATTTGGGCTTGGAATTGGTCGATTTGTTCCCGAAGATCGGTCTGAAGCGCTTTCGCCGCCTCCATCTCCATCGCGTTGGACTGCAAGGTCAGTTCGAGATCTGCAATGCGCTCCTGCAGGCCGGAAACGGTCAGCTGCTCGAGCTCCTTCTGATGCTGGAGTTTCTCCTGCAGGACTAAATTTTTGCTTTCCTCTTCATTAAGGCGAGGCAAGATGGCGGCGCGCTCCCTTTGCATCGTCGTGATCGCCTCGTCGCGAGTCTCAAGGGCCTGCCGAAGTTCCTCCGATTTCCTACGCGCCAGCTCTTCAATCTCCTTCGCATGCTCAGCGGTACGCTTGAATTCCGCCGAACGGCCCTCCAGATCCCCCCGCAAACGCCGCGTTTCGTCCTCCATAACTTTGACCGCATTCCGTGCGTCCTCGGTGTGCTGCTGGGCCTGCTTTAACGCTTTTTGCCCCTCCTCCATTTGAGCCTCGACCTGCCCCAGGCGATGCCGAAGCGTCTCGATGTCCCTCTCTCGCGAGGCCAGCTCTCGGCGGGAGATCATCTCAGCCTCCTGCTGCTCAACCACCTGTCGATCCAGCATCTGAAGCCGAGTTTGGTGAATTTGCGCATTCTCCTGAAGCTTGGCGATGGTCTCCTCTAATTTCCGAACGATGGCATCCCGCGCGGCGACGGTGGTCTCCACGCGAACTAGGGCCTTTTCCCCCTCCGCCCGATCCCGCTCGACCTCCTCCATGCGATGACGAAGCTGCGCCTCCGCTTGCACGTCCGCGGCGTGACGTTGGTCCTGCTGAAATAGTTTACCATTCGCATCCTCCAAACTCCGCTTTAGCCCCGCAATCATCTCCTCCCTCGAGGCCAGAGAACTCTGCGCGCTGATAAGCTTCTCCTTTAGCTGACGCGTGCGCTCGGCGTACCGCTCCAGATCCTGCGAAAGGCTCTTCTTGCCCCCGGTGTGGTCCATAAGTTCGGCCTGACAGCGCTCTAAACGGGAAAGGGTGCTTTGTAATTCCGCATCCTTGCTACGACAAAGCGCCTCCATGGCGGAGGCGTGCTCATACTTCTGCTCTTTTAGCATCTTGTCGTGGATGAGATCAAGTCGTCGGATCTCCTCCTCCTTATCGCGCAGATGCTGCCAATTGGTCTGAGCGGTCGTCTGATATTCCTCAATTTTTAATCGCAAAGCGGCGACCTCTTGGCTAAGGGTGGATTGCGTTTCCTGATGTTTTAGTTGTACCTGTTTAAGCTCATACTTCAGCCGTTCATTGTCTTCCTTGAAGACCGAAATGGAGGCATTCGCCGCCGTGATCTGATCACGAAGGGTGCTATTCGCCAATGTCGAACTGTCCTTTAGTGTATTTAACGCGGTCGTCGCCGCAAGTAAGGCACTCTCTTTCGCCTCCAACTGTCTGCCGTAGCGCTCGGCCTCCTCTTGATGGTGGTTCGCCTTCTCACTCATCCCAACTAACTGCACTTGAAGGGTTTTCTCCGTTGTCTCCGCCTGCCCTTTCAGTCGCTCGAGCGCGAGGCGGGTCTCCTGAAGGGTCTCCATCCCACGCCGCAGCTGATCCTCCTGGGAGGCGATTGTCCGCCCCATTTCCGCCTGAACCCCCCCCTCCTTCTCCGACGCCGCTTTCCACGACTCCTTTTCCCGACGCGCACCCTCCAAGGCCTCCTCCAACTCCCGAA